CCATATGTGCCCTTTAAGAAGAAAGAAGACCAAATTATAGTAAAACAAAAAAGATGAATGAGATGAAAAGTGATTGCAGTTAATGAAACTTAATGCTAAGGCCACAAATATATTTTGTTTTGAATTAGATGTTAATGAGTTTTAAGTTATTTTAGACTAGATGTTAATGAGTTTAATAAAACCTCCACCTAATTTAGAATAAAATACAAATAACACATGGAAGAGCCAATCAAGTTAAGAAATTAAAGGTTAATTTTCTTGTGCAAAATTAGGAATTCTTTAAAATGAGTGAGCATAAATGCATGTCACTGTCTACAAGGTTTACTAATATTATTAATACATTAAAATCACTTAATAATATTTTTTATGGTGATAAACTTGCTAGAAAATTCTTAGATACTTGCCAAAATCATTAGATAAAAAAATGTTGATAACTCAAGAGTTAACAGACCTCATGATGTGAACATGGACACCCACGAGCAACATTTCCAGGATACCCGAAAGAAGCATGACTGCGAGCAAGACCAAGCCCACACCTGCGAGCGCACTTGTGAGCTCACCCACGAAGAACGCATAGGAAAGGATGTCTGCCTGCATGAGAACAACACGCACAACCACCCACTGCGCCGAGACAACACGCACACGCCCAACACGCGCATACACGAAGATAGGGCAAAGGAACTTTCCCGCACTTGCAGGAATTCCCAATCCTATGGGGATAAGGATTCCCTTTCCCCTTTGGAATGAGGTTTTGAGCCCAATTTTGTTTTACTAAATTGGTCGAAGTACAAAAACAAACCAAGATCAACAAAAAATATGGGCTTGGGGAATTATAGAAAATGATTCAAATTCCTTTAGGCCCAATCATAAGAAACCAAGCTGAAAAGATCCAACAAACTTTTAATTTTTTAGTCCAATATTGGGTGAGTTAAGAATTAAAGATAAAGGCCCAAGAATTGTCAAGAAACAACCCAATGGCCTATATTAATTCAATTAGAATTGATTTCTATATAAAGGCCACACCATTATGATGTAATTGAACTACTTTTTAAATTAATAAAATATTAATTTATTTACTTTTAGTTATTGCTAATTGTGAGTGAATGTTCAATCAAGTGAAGTTGCTTCAACCTTCTTGTTGAATAAAGAAATCAAATCGACTTATCAGGTAAATCGTAACATCTTTTATATTCTAATTTTATTCTCATTTACCTTGGTTTGAATTCACAGGTTGTGTAACGGCCCCGAAAATTCAAAAAGAAATACATATAATAATCTAAGTGCGGAAGCGAAATAAAAAATTAAGATTAACATCCCTTACACAATAACTTAAAAGTACTAAATAACATCACGGAATAAGTTCTCTAAAAGAAATACGAGAAATGAGAAAAATAAATGAAACTATAAAGCATCTACCATCTACTCGCAGCCTTCTTATGGATCGGACTCGAGAACCAGGTCCTCCTAATCTGAAATGGTTAAATAAGGAATGAACTACACTAGCCCAGTAAGGACATCACATTATATCACCGTCACATAAGTAAAAGTTGGTAGAAAATTAAAACAACAAATGGAGCAGTAGATTTAAACCAATACATTTATTTAAAATAAAACTATTTACCTTTTTTCTTACCGTCAGAGAATTGATAGAAACAAATTATAGAAGCAGTAATATCATATAGATCACAATTTCATGCATAATCAGTAATATAAAACATATTATAAATCTGTATTCATTAACAATAACTGATTATCACCGTTTCTCGTTTTCACCAGCCTACTAGTATCCATGGGGATCCGTAAGGGTATCCCCGCTACACGTGAACCACTTCCCTTAATAATCTTAATTCCAGGGCCGTCCCCATACCCCATCCGCTCGCGGTGGCGATCCGCCTCAGGTTGGATGTTTTCGGCCAAATTCAGCCAAATATGCATCGGTTCCTGTGAGAAAAGACACTTAGGGCCATCGGTGGGTCGAAAAAATGTAGAAAACCGAAACTCACTAGCGGTAGGGCTCTCCGATGCGGAGGCTCCTCCGGCTCACGTTGTGGTTGGGTGTTTTACTCCGGTCAACCTGTAAAAAAATCACATCAAACGGGAATCGGGAAAGGACCTCATTGGAGGCAAAAATCAAAACACCCGCGGCGGCGCCGCTGAGCTTCAGTGACGTTTTTCGGCCAATTGGCTGGGTCTTTCACTCCGATTTGGCCATGAGTGGGTTTGAAATCAAATTATGAGCAAGGGTAGAATTTTTAATTTGTTTGGCAGTCGAAAATTACTCCGA